TTGAGTTCATGGTGTCAGAGGTTCATTCCATGGTTATCCAACTCTACCACTCTGAGTCCGAGGTGAGGAAGAACATCATGATGGAAAGGTGTAGAGGAAGAAAGCATCTCAGCTCATGGCAACCGGGGAGCAGATTGAGAAAGGGCAAGACAGTGGGGGTGGTGGTGGAGGGAGGAGATGAATGAGAAGCAAGGGATAAAAAATAAACTCCAAAGGCATGCATGCCTCCCACCTGCCTCCAGTTACCATCCAGTTAGTCCATTCAAATTTTTTACTAATTCATCAAATGAATTAGATTACAGGTCTCATAAGGAAATAATTTCATCTCTGAGCATTAACATTCCTGCATTGCTTAAAGTGAGCTCCTGGGGAGACACCTCATACCCAAGCCATAATTGTGTGTGTGTGTGTGTGTGTGTGTGTGTGTATTTGAAAGTGTAAATTATAGTCTGTTTGAATATATGCATGCAGAAAGTATATCCTCTTTATCCCTTGGATAGAATGTATAGAAATCTGTTTCTCTTGGAAAGACAGTGGAATAGCAGCATGGTGTTAATGGGCTCTGGCTTCAATCAGACCTGTGTTATGGTAACTTCCACAAGTGCACTCACTTCTTTGAACTTCAAATTGCCACATTTGTAAAACAGGGATAATAATTGAATTTTATAGAATTGTTAATATAATTAAATGACTACAATATGTAAAGCACTTAACTGATTGCCTAGCTCATAGTACATGCTCAAGAAATGTTAATTATTGTTGTAATACTTGTGTCAGATTATTTAAGATTTTCCAAACTTCCCCTTCCTCAGGGATTGAAATTCTGTTTCCTCCCACAAGGGTCTGTGCCCTGCTACTTCCATGTGTCTGTCTACTATAGTTTTTGCATCATCTAGAAAAGATTTCTCCATCCCTCAGATGCTGACAATTTGTACTCCTTGCATCTCACTTAACGTAGATTGCCTTATGTTGATGTTACTCCTGTATGTGGTTTATCTTTCTTTAAAGTTTGCAATTTCCCTGTGGACAGAGCATATTCTAAATACCTTTGCACTGTTCCAAGATGTTTACCCACATAGTAAATGTCCTATAAATATTGAGTAAATGATTACTCAGTGGTACAGAAAGGCAAGTGAGACTGAATAAATACTGCTTCAATGAAGGCCTACATTAATTAAACATATTTTTGACATGATAGTCAGGCCCAACCAAAGTGGATTTGATGATAAGTTTGGTTTGCCTTGGACCCTTCACTGTCCTCAAAATAAAAATTTTTCAACTCCTTGAATTGTGAGTTGACATGGCACATGCTTGATAGATGTTGGAAAATTTTTTTAACCATAAATTTGTTTGTTTATTTTCTAAATTTTATTTTTAATTAAAAAATATATTCTTTCCCCTCATCTGTTTATGGGGCATAATATAATGTTTTGATGTATGTTGACAACAGTGTTTGAGGGATTTTGTTCCAGGCTATCAAATGCAGGTAAAAAGGAAAGGGAGAGAAAAGAAATATAGACAAAGAATAACTGTGATAAAAGATGACCATATGATGTTGGTTAAAACTTCACAATGAAGAAAAATATGACAACTTAATTATTGATCAATTCTAAGATGAGAAGTAAAATACAGGCAGTTAGTCTGGGTAAGAGAGCTGTGATGCTTAAAATTGCCCTTTGGTAGCAAAACATCAAATTATTTTAGTTGTAACAGTTACTGTAAGCCTCTCAAGTTCATGCAGAAGTGTTCTCAGCTATCAGAGGTTTCAGATTTCCAACAAGTTACACTCTTGCTCTACTCTTGACTTGAGTAATCACCAGTACACAGGCCATAGGTAGTGAGGCTGGATATAATAGCATGCTCACTAGGGCTACACATTTGCTCTGTTATCTCAAGGAATGGCTGTGTCTTTCATTTAATATTGCCAGTTTTACTGTCAGAAGGGTATATAACATAATGGAAAGTATATGGGCATCTCCACTTACTAGATAAGTGTTGGTAAGTTTAAATTTCTCTTATCTTGAAGTTGAGGATAACAGCATTATTATTTTGAGCTTTAATCATTGTTAACATCAACATGATCATAATGGTGGGTACCCTTTATTGACTTTTGTAGTATGTATCAGTAACTGTTCTAAGTGCTTTACAAGGATCAGTCTACTTAACTTTTTGAACAGCGTATTAATAAGGTGTATGATGCTTTTGTCCTCATTTAAAATATCCAGTATAATGCCAGGCATATTATATATACATAAATTTTATTATTATTATTATTATTTAATAACAATTATTATCATCCTCTAGATAAAGCACAGCCTAATTATTTTTGGATTAAAATTTTATTTCAGAGAAAAAAAATCTTCTAGAATTTCATCAAAAAGGAATTAAATTTAGACTTTATCTAGTTTAGTTGATTTCCATATTTTTTAAGCCACAAATTGTCATTTCCAAGATCCATATGTCAAAAACATAAAAGTATAAGTATTCTACTTGAATCAGGAGTGGATAACTTGAACCCTATGTCACAGTTTATTTGTGCCCAGGACTCTGAGAAACATACTTTGGAAATCACTGATAGTATCCATTCTTGGTATATACACCTAGATAGGCAAAGTGATTTATAGTGTTTGCTAACTGCAGGCTCTGAATTATGCATCAGATCCTAAATCTAGTATTTTCTATGAGACCACAACATGTAATTTCATAGCATAGTAATTATTATTCCCTAAAATATACTGATTTAAAGATAACAAAGTACCCTCATATATCTTAACATATTTGAACTTTACAATTTTTGTGGTAGGTATAATGAATTCTTAGTATACCCCAAATGCTGTATAATATATGCACATTAAAAAAATTCTGGTAGAAATAGCAGTAGAGGAAGGGGGAAAATCAGAGACCTGAAATATTAGAAAAGTGTGATATCATTGAAATAAGTAAGTACAGGAAAGTTGGCATTTTCCCTGAGAGCAATTTCTAGGCCTCAGTGGTTTGGGCTGTGGCTTTTAATGGATACTGTGTAGGAATGTGGGAGATAGTTTGGTGCCAGTTGATATGCTTTAAATAAGGACCTTGAATGGTGAATCCCTCAATGGGTGAACTAGGAAAAATCCACAGTAAAAAAGGAAAGTTGCCTATCAGTCTTGACTCTAGATTACGGTCTAGAGGATAAAAGTTTGCATTCCTGAAAGCTTTGGGCTCGAATTTATTCTATCTGTGTGGCTCAGTTCTCATCCCCAAGGCAAAATTGTAGTTTAAAGTGATTTTGGATTGATGATTCCCTTAAGCAACGGACAGAAGCAAACACAAATTCTCTGAAGAAATGCGATTTTAAAACCAAAACTTCAAATAATTCCCATAGATTAAATTTCAAAGAATATGAGCTTGCAAATAAAAGAATCAACTCAAAACACAAGAAAATTAACCATCATGTGTGATACTCAGCACAAACTACCAACTGCAAAATTAGATGTGCAAGACTGAAGATATTGAAACTGTTAATATAGAACATGCAAGTGTAATGTGTTTGAAGAAATAAAAAAAAAGATGAAAGAATAAGGGACTGTCAAATTTGACAAACAGATCAAAAAAGAAGCAGTTATAATTCTAGAAAATAAAAATAAGTGAAATAAAAAAAATTATGTGAGTGACTGAAACAGAATGTGATAGAACTCTAGAGAGACATCTTAAAAGATACATCCAGAAGGCATACAGAATTTAGCATCAAAAGTAAAGAGAAACAGATTATATGAAAAAACAAATGTAAGTTATATGAAGGAGAGCTCAAGAAGGAAAAACATTTATCCAGTTAGAATAAAGAAGAGAGAAAATTGTGAAGAGAGAATGTTTGAAGAGCATACTTGAGAGTCTTTCAAAATGGTGAAAGATTTCACCAGTCTTCATATTTAGGAATCCCAAGAAATCCCAATAGTAAATTCATGAACCTCAGTGTAAAACTAAAGAGTATATAACAAAAGCAAGCAACCAACCAGACAAGCAGATCTTGGAAAGTATCTATAGAGAAAGAGGTTGCTTCATAGGAAGGAATGACTGTTAGATTAACAACTGACTACTCCAAAGCAGTAATAGAAATCGTAACAATGGAATGATGTTTTCAAAGTATTGAGACAGAGTAACTGTCTAGCCAGTAAAGTTATAAAGATGAGGATAGTATATAGATACGTTTAGACAAATGAAAATCAAGCAGGGTCCTATGAAAGGATCCTTGGTAAAGAAGCTTCTAAAGTATATTTTAGGAAGATAAATAATTATCCTGGAAGGCATGGCAGGGATTCAGGCAGAAATGTTGAGAAAAAGAAAATGTCAAACCTGTGGCTAAAAGAATATGGTATATCATACAGCATTGATGAATGTTGTTAACATTAGTAAGTGTGAATAGAAAAAAAAAAACACACCATACAAGATGTGTACAGTATGATTTCATATATATGAACTTTGAAATGGGTAAAACTAAATTATATTTGCATAAGTAAATAGTACCTATACATGATAAAATCATAAATATATGTAAGGGAGTGATTAACCCAGAATTCAGGATAGTTATCTCTGATGGCTGGAAGAAGGATTCATTGGAGAGATGTAATTAAGAGATACTGATAATATTTTCTTGTATTAATTATATATATTTGTATATTTTATCTTTCCTTTTCTACATATCATAATTTTTTCAATGAAACAATTATAAAAAGTCCAGTCATGTAACATGATAATAGGAAGAGCATTCAGGATCCGCATGAAAAAGAGCCTTCAGGAAGTGACAACCTTAGTAAATTTGAGTACAGTAACAAAATCTCGTTAGCTTGGGATAGACTAAAGTTTCCTATTTCTCTTCTTCAACCCCCTGCCCTATTCACCCTTGTTTATTGCCATTGTATGTTTTCATGCATAATGACATAATAAAAAAGTTTCATGCTTTATTATTTGGAGGTCTTTTATTCCCTCCCTTCCTGATGTAAAATTTTATTTGTATCTTCTAGGTCATAACTTTTGTGCTGAAGCACCTAAATGTGGTGAAAACTCAGAGTGTAAAAACTGGAATACAAAAGCTACTTGTGAGTGCAAGAACGGTTACATTTCTGTCCAGGGAGACTCTGCCTACTGTGAAGGTAAGTAAAGAATTTAAAGAAGTCACTTGTGAGAAACTGGCTGAGAAATGTGTTCCCACAAGAAACTGTACCAACTACCCCAAGTATTCTGTTTTCCTGGTTTATTCAAGCTGTTTACCATGAGAAAGCAAGACCTTTGAAGGTTGTTGCAAAACATTACAAGTAACCAAAAGTAACAAATTTTATGTGAAATCCCTGTTTCTACTGTTTGTCGCAATCACCAGAACAACCATAAATGCATTATTTTCTATAGTCTTATTTGAGGATATTGTCATCTCCAAGTTTGATTATATTTTACGTGGTGGATTTTCTTTTCAAAGGACACTTTGGCTTTAACTTGTACCCAGCTGTTACCTTCCCTTGTCAAGGTCAGAATTGCTTTTTCAGTGGGATTTCTTTTCTTTCTTTCTTTCTTTTTTTTAATGGCTCATTCACATATTGCCAATTATCGATCTTTACCAAGAATCACAGTGACAGGATTCATAACTCTGACACATGAGCTGATGCCCCTACAATGGATTTGTGGCTCAGGCATGAACCACACATCTACTCTACAGGGAAAAAAAAAAATTGCTCTGCCTTATGTGAATGAGCCTCTTTTTCCAAGCCCAGCATGGTATTCTGCTGGTGGTGAGCATTGCATACTCTTATTCCTTTAGGAGGCCAGAGGCATGGGGTTAGCCCTGACCCCTTTCTATATGCATGGTGCTGCAGTACCTGAGCCTATCAATCCTTAAAGTGCTTCCTGGCTCCCTGCTATCAATTTAGAGAAGGTCAAATAGACAAAGTTATGACTGGACTCTTCTCTGTCCCAGTTCCTGTCATTTCAGTCATTTCTTTTACCTTCACTAATAAAATAGCAATAGTGATCTGTTAATCAGGAAGGGAGATGTTTTCAGTTGAATGAATGTTGCAAAATCTGCTCAATCTCCTGTTAAGATCTTTGGGTCTCAAATGGTTCAAGTGTTAAGGTAAAGACAATATTCATAGATGACAGTAAGGCAAATTTCTTTTCATTCTGCTGTTTTGTATTATTGAACCTTGCTTAACTTTTTGGCTTTGACTCTAGACTTCTTCAGTTGTTCAGGAAGTGCATCACTTCCTGGTAGGCAGCCTCTGTGTTTTTTTCATTTCTCATGGAAAACTTCTTTCTTCACTACCTTCCTACTTTGCAACATTCTAGCTAGTGGAGTTTTCACCCTCATTTTTTTTTTTTAAACCTTCTTTTCCCTCTTACTAATTTTATTGATTTGAACTTGCTTAGTAAGACATGCCACTTGGTAGAACCAAAGAGCCGTTATGTCATGAAACCTTTCATCTACCTTGTAATATCATTGTAGTTACTTGTTAATTTCTGAGAAGAGGATTACTAATATCAATGCTTCATACTAATGTCTGTTTTAAAATATTTTTGGGTTATGCTATTTTCAGAAACTTAATTTAAAAACTTCAGTTGTGAACATTCTCCTTACCATTCTTTATGAAAAAAAAAAAATCTCTACAACCAAGGTAATGGTCTAAAAAACTTACTCTCTTACTTTCTAGTATATGTGGACTTAGACTCTGGACAATCATAACAGGAATCTCAAAATAATTTGAATCCTGATTCCATTTCCAACAGACCTTTAAGTTGTCCATTAGAATCTGTCCGCCTATCATTCCTAGTCCCCCTTAGCTATTGAGACCTAGAAGAATAGAAAACTACTGGTGTTAATGCTGTTGGAGACTCAGATGCTCTCCTCACTGATACCATTTTTTAGTCCCTAGATTCAGTGCCAAGAGAAGCCATCTGTGATATTAAATTTGCCCTTTCTGTATGAAACCTTATTTTATTGATTGTGTTGAGTGATTTTAGGTCTGAATCACCATTTTCTTGGACATGCTCCTGCAATGTATGAGCCTGGCCTCAGGCCAGCATGCACCTTGGTGTTAACCTTGAGTAACAGTAATGTGCTTGGGCCTCAGCCATTACATTGTTATCACAGAGACTCTCTGCAAGTTCCAGGGAACTTGTTCATGGAGAGAGGGATAGCACCTAAAGAGCCATGGCTAAAGGTTGGAGTCCTCCTAGTGTATAAGAAACAAGCTCCAGGAGTAGAGCAGGCATCTAGATGAGAGGGATAAAGAATCAAAAAGAGCAAACATGGGACATTTACAGCAGATGCTTTTCTTCAGTTTGTCTGCCATCTGCAGCATATTGAACTTTGGTTTTCTGGCTTATGTTCCTCTGATTGCATGGAGGCTGCCATAGCTCCAGTCATGGTCCCTTCCTCCATATAAGGAAGGGAAGAAGGGTGGCAATTAAAAATCTCTGTGTAAAATTTTGTCTTTTTACATATATATATATATATATATATATATATATATATATATATATCCACTCCTACCACTACCATATGCAGAATATTTCCCATCTTATTCAGACCTGGGTGATATCCCCGCCCCCTACACCCCCACCCATATACCCCTGGGTCAATGTTTGGGTGTAAGGAAAGGAGATACCTCCTGCTGGTTTGGGTCAATTGTGTTCATTCCCTGGAGCTGGAATGTGGGTTGTCTTCCTTTAGACCAAATGATCCTTTCCTCTGTTTGAAGCAAACAGGGATATGCCAATAGAAAAGAGTGGGGTTTGATTTTAGGGGGGCAAAAACCCACTCTTTTATTAGTTAAATTTAGTTCCTGGGCCATTTTCCTAGTTTTCTCCTAAGAACTGCCCTCTGGGGTGATCTGATGACAAGCTTAGAGTTAGTACTGGAGATGCTCAGAAAGCAGGCTCATTGTCTTAGCCTATCCTAGAGAGAGCTAGATACTCACGAACTGCTTCAGGCAAGTTATTTTTTAACCCAAGTAAATGGAGCAAAAATGACCCACATTATAAAAGCCACCACGGAGCAAGACTGGTTTGCAAATTAAAACAAAGTGTTACCCACATTGTCCAGGCTCTCTTGAAAAGCCTCTTCAGGCTCTCAGTGGATAAAGAAGCATAAAACGCTTTCAATTTTCTTAACTTCCTAAGGTAGTAGCAGAGCTGTGGTGTATTAAGGACTCCTGCTCTGCAGAGATTGTAGACTCTGCCAGAGAGAAGATATCGGAACTCCTAGCCAATCAATAGAAGATAATAAGAGCTTTTGTCAGCTATGATACAAGTCACAGGAGGTTGTCTCATTCTGCCTCTTGTGACTCAAGCAGGCGCATTCCCCATTTTGAAAACTGCTTTTGTTTGATTTCAGTGTTTTATGAACTTGGCAGGCTGAGGCTTTTCCCCTTTGTGATAACATTTTCAATGAATGGGTCTTGAGTAGTTTTTGATACATTAGTTTAAATTAGAGGTACTGTCTGAGGAAAATGTAGCAAGAGGGGTCCTAGTGATGATCTTCTTTAGAGATTCACAAACTGTTTTTTCCAGGTTGCAAAAAAGCCATTTAGGTGAATGAAGGATAACATAATTTATGCATCCTGCAATCTGCCAGGTATAGAAAGTGCTACAATTAGTATTAAATGATAAGACCTTTTACTTGCAGAATACTCTGAATTTTCCAGACTTCTCTCAGGTATCTTATACTTTTTTTTTTTTGAAACTTTCAAGAAATCTGTGAGAAGGCTGAAAGCCTTGACTGCCATTAGCTTCATTTTATAAATGCAAACATTAATACTCAGAAATGAAGATAAAATTCAACTCATTTCTATTCCAGGGCTTTATGCCCAGACTTACACTGTTCCCAACCTTCTCACCACTCTTGCACTGTTCCAATGTCATCTTTTTGTTCAGAATATTTGCTATCTATCTATCTATCTCATTTATCCCACTGGCATCCAGTTTGGCCAAAGAAATGTAAGTGGGAATGACATGTGTCATTTCATAGTAGAAGCTCTAAGAACTTTTGCAGGATTCTACATCATTTTCTTCTCTTTATGACATGAAAATCTGGCAATATTCCAGATGAGAGCTTCCCCTTTAGCCAGGGTTCCAGAACGAAGATGACATGAAGCAGAGTTACTGCTGACAGGTGATGGACATGTAGCATGAGTGGGAAATGTGTATACCACTGAAATTAGCAGGTTTGGGTATGTGGGGGAATGGTTATATGTTACCTTTCCATAACTTAGCTAAATTCACTGATGTACCCACCTGAATTAATTGATTCAAAACTCACAGGTTCAGCCTGGTACAGTGCCACATGCCTGTAATTCCAGCAGCTCTGGAGGCTGAGGCAGGAGGAAATTTGGGCCTATATTTTTCTCTATTATGTGTGGGTTCTCTGGTCTAATTCTTAGGTCCTTGATTCACTTTGAGTTGAGTTTTGTGCATGGTGAGAGATAGGGGTTTATTTTCATTTTACTGCATATGAATTTCCAGTTCTTTCAGCACCATTTGCTGAAGAGGCTATCTTTTCTCCATTGTATGTTTTTGGTGCCTTTGACTAGTATGAGATAACTGTATTCATGTGGGTTTGTCTCTGTGTCTTCTATTCTGTACCATTGGTTTACATTTCTATTTTGTTGCCAGTACCATGTCATTTTTGTTACTATATCTTTGTAGGTTAGTTTAAGGACTGTTATTGTGATGCCTCTTGCTTTGCTCTTCTTACTAGGGATTCCTTTGGCTACTCTGGGTCTCTTATTTTTCCAAATGAATTTCATGATTGCTTTTTCTATTTCTAAAAGAAATGATTATGGAATTTTAATTGGAATCACATTGAATCTATATAGCGCTTTGGGTAGTATGGCCATTTGACCATATTAATTTTGCCTATCCAAGAGCATGGGAGATCGTCCCATCTTCTAAAGTCTTCTTCAATTTCTTTCTTTAGTGTTCTGAAGTTTTCATTGTAGAGATCTTTCACCTCTTTGGTTAAGTTGATTCCCAAGTATTTTATTTATTTATTTATTTTGAGGCTATTGTGAATGGGATGGTTTTCCTAATTCTCTTTCAGAGGATTCATCACTGATGTATAGAAATGCATTTGACTTATGGGTGTTTATTTTTATATCCTGTTACT